ATGTCCATTTGTTCTCCTCTAAAAAAATAACATAGATGCGGAGATTTTCAGACACCGCAAACGAGATATCGACGGTGAAACTACCAAACCACGTATCTCGTTTGCGGTGTTTAAAAATCTACGCTCGCATTTTATTTTTTTGAAGTCGACCAAATCAATATCATTCTTTGAAATTTTCACAGAATTTTCTCCGCACACAGAGAAAAAATCACAGAAATTTTCAAGACTAGACGTTAAGTAGTTTTTTATTTAAAAAATAAAGTATGACAGGAAGTCTGCGACGTCGCAAACCGAGATACGTGGTTTGGTAGTTTCACCGTCGATATGTGATTGCGAACTTACGCCGCCGTCGAAATATTTTATCAGTGTGGGAACTTCCCCGAGAGTACCGGGAAATTTCCCATTCTCGGGAACGAGAAATTTGAGATCCCTAACGGCGCCGACGCAAAGCGGCCTCTCTGGCCTTCGTAAGTCCCTATCATGAGCTCTGCTGGCTCTTTCTTTTGCCAGCGGCAGAAGTTGGAAAATGTTGGAGGACAGTCGTGTCGACTTCTCTGGGGAAATTAGTGATTGACACATTTCCTGTGCTGCTTTACTGGCCCGTCTTGTCACAAGTAACGACCGGGCACTGGATAGTGCCACTTCGGCTATCCCCTTGGCCTAAATAAAAAAAAACTCTAAGGGTGGCACGTGGGACACCGCCCCCCTAAAATCCTCCTCTAACTAATCCACCCTCTCCTTCACACCCAGAAAAATTACCTGTTACTACGAGTTGAATCGTTCTTTTTACTTTCTCGCTTCCCTAGGTTGGAGGAAGTATTGTCATCCTGCAAGAGGGAGGGGGAGTTGAAAGTTCATTATTTCTAGACGTTTTAAGGTCCCAGGAGTCAAAATAACCATACTTGAAAAAATGTGTGTCCGTCCGTCAGGCGTCCCCCAAATCTGTCTACAGCGATATCTCAGAATCTATCTGTTCGATTTTATTCAAAATTTGCAGAGAAGACCATATCTACGGTCTCTTTATGCACATCAAACGATTTTGGGGTACGCTAAAATTAGGGGGGGGGGCTAAGGGCCAAAGTCCTTTTTTTTACATCTGACCATTTGATCTCAACCGGAAAAGTTTCATCAGAACTACTTAAATACTACAGAACTACTAAAAACTTTCCTTGTCGCGCAACAGAAAGGAACCCACCCATCAAAATTGCACCGAGGAATAGAGGTTTGAAATCGTATTCCTTAACTAGACTCAGTGTTAGAAGCGAGGATAAAGGTCCGTTTTTGCTTTAGTAATAGTTTTCACGGAAAAAATGTGTGGATACTCAATTTCAAAACTGCTCCTAACTCAATCTCAGTTTATTACTTCCTGAATTATCAATTATGTTTTCTTCAGATTTTTTCGGTCCCTAGAGAATGTATTTCTTTTATTTTTACAACTTCAATTTTACTATAAGTTTTTATTCCTTTTTTTGACGTGTGGGCTACTATCACCAATTATCTTTCACGCCGGGCAAGCCCGTAAGTACAGTTAAATTCATAAGTGTGCGCTGCGTTAAGGTGTCAACACCTTTAGGAGAGCGCTCATAAATTCGTCGATCCTCTGACGTAAGGGCGTAACTCAATTTCCACGTGATCCCTGATTCACATGTAAATCCATGCTTCCTGGGGCTCATGCAAGGATCGAGATACGCCTTTGCAACAGAGGAGCAACGAATTGAGGCATTCTTCGGCAAAAAGGCGTATGAGACTTCCAATGCTGCTCAGATTGTGCAACGTAGTTCTCTTTGTAAGTAACCTATCCGTCAGTTCTGCTGTGAATTTGCCCCCGAATCTGCTCCGACTTTTTCCTCACAATTGTACGCAAGTAAGTCGGTCGTGAATGAATTTCATCTGCCTTAAACGCTGTAAAAAATTGCACAATCTTTGCAAGCCTTATACGCCCTTTTACCGAAAAATTCCGCAATTACGTAACGCTTTGGGGGGGGGGGGTGTCGAAGAGAGCGTCACGCCATTTTTTTTGTTTTTATGCGTCAAAGAGCAGGGACCCACGCCACAAAAGCGTTACAGGAGGGGAGGGGAGTCAGAAATGCTGAAAAAGGGTGTAACGTACTTTTTGAACGTTCCTATTTACGAGTCTCAAGGTATAAATTTAAGTAAAAAAGAAAGAAAGAAAGATGCCTCTAAAGCTCATTCGGAAAGGTCCTGTTTGTTGAATAATGCTATTCCCGCTCGCACAGCGTTTAACAGAAAGGACCATTCAACAAATATATGACGACGGGAAATCGCTGCACTAGTCTATGGGTCACCGTTGCGGCTCGCAAAAACGATCGGAAAACCTAATTGGGCTACTTTTTGCAATTAAGAGCTATAATTTCTGGCTCAGTTTAGATATAATGTATGCACCATTAGTTTTTGTATATACGCACATAAATATTTCTACGGACGAGCCGGAAATTATAGTTCCGAGTTGCAAATATGGTCCAATTATTATTCATCCGCCAAATACACAGGTCATTTTTTAGAAGGCTCAATGTAGACAGGCACGTCCCGTTCAACACATTGTTCATAAGCTCCTGGGATATCTCACGACTTTCGGGTAGCCTAGAACCTTCTTTTCAGCCGATATTTGCGGATAAAATGGCAACAGACAGTTGGTGGGAACTAACTTATACAGTCATCGCTGTCGCATCATTTAACCCATCAATTAATGAACGATTCCCTGATCCAATGTATATGTGAATGGGGGCCTGTTAGGTTCGGTTCCCCCTCCCTCCCAGCGGCTCCTCGTCCATCGGTATCTATCGCTTTTTTACGATGCGGTCCATTCGACCCCATCCGTACCACGTATCGTTGCTCTCTATTCTGCCGCGCTAAGGAAAAACGCCGTATGAACTTTCAGGCGTTGCCAAATTTCCTTTGACAAACGCGCATTGTCTGGTAAATTTATGAATATTTTCCTCACCATTTTTCAAATGATTTAGTTCGCAATTTTACCTAAAGATCCTGAAAATTTGAAAGAATATATTAATACATTTCCTAAAAAATAAGCATTTTATCGAAGGAAATTTGGCAACTTTCGAATGTTCATACGGCGTTCTTCCCTAGCACGGCAGTATTGAGGCGAATCTTTAGCTTTTGCGCAATGCATCCTGAGTACGATCGATGAACTCGAAATTTAAACCATTTTGGTGGATTATTTTGGAAAAATAAAAAGTTCAGTCTGTAGGCGAATCTCAGGAATTCTCATGCCGGAAAGCTTATTTTAAATTCGTAAAATGAAGTCAACAGCGGGCTGATTGTTGGAATTGGTAGACGAAGCGATAGACAAAGACAGAAATGTATGTGATTCTAAAATGATTTTAATGAAAGACAAAGGCTGATATTAATCTTCCATTAGTTCCATTGCATTGCTAAGGCGCAATGATACGACTATTCGTACTCTTTGGAATGCGTGTGGTATTACGCCACAATTGAAGGCGTTTTCGAAACTGCCAACTTTCCATATCGGAAATTCGGATACACGTGTCGCATAAATAGGAATAACTTTTTTCTAACCCTTCAGCGAAAAAAAAATACAAATAAGTCGAGGTGCGCGTTCGAACTTTACTCGAGGTAACCAGGAAACGACTTCGTTGCATTCGTCGTTCCCTGATCATAGAAGGTAGAGTAAGTACCTGTATACGGGAGAGTACTGCCATCTCAATCCTTTTACTACAGAAAAAGTGTGTCGTTCTCTGATTGGTCGGCTATCGTGGAGCCCCAAAGTTAGACCAATGTAAACAAACCCCAGCCCCTCCGCTCCTAATTTGGCCCAATGTAAACAAACAATGGCGGAAAAGTTCTAGAAGTTCTAGACGTGCTTTTGGGTGTGAAAGAAATTGTTTTATATCCAACTTCTGCATTGGATTCGGATCGATCTTTGATGAACATTTTTTCCAAAAATTAAGCTTAGCGTGTGATTATCAGTCATTTCTCAGCTTATAATAGGTGTTTCTCTGGGTCGGGTTTGTTTACATTTGGTTTACATCGGTCCAACTTTAGAGCTCCATGATAGCCTGAAACTGATGAACCAATCAGAGAGCGGCACAGAGATGGCAATACTCTCCCGTATACAGGTACTCGAATAGAGGGTAGGGAGGGGCTGCAGCCTTCCATTTCTCGACGGCAACGTTGTATACATTTAAATAATGTATTCCTCAGAAAATTGACTATGTCGTGATACAATAATTCGGTAATAGTTGACTTCCTAGGCACAACAGGCGACACCGGAATTAAGTCACGGTGTAAGTGCAACACGCAGTGCCCCTAGTTGGTGTCGAATGCGACGAGCATTAAAAGTTTCATTTTAACTCATGGATGCAAGTATTCGGGCTCCATGGATGCCCGTGTTGCCTACGCACGGGAGTGAAGGCGTTGTCATTGTCCAGGCACTCACCTTTTTGTCATAGAGAAAAAAAGGAGGTGTTTGCATTTCGGGCATCTTGGAATTTTTTTATGACTTGATGACGTAGGTGGGTACAGCGTGAAGGGGACGTCGCTGTACCCAGCTGTACCCACCTACGTCATCAAGTCATCAAAAATTTCCAAGATGCCCGAAATGCAAACACCTTTTCTTTCTCTATGCCTTTTTGTCACTGTTCGTGTTCGCTCCATAACGTTTTCTTAAGCCGATTTCCATGCTTTTTGCGGCCACCGTCGCGACAGATGATAGTCCCGGATGAGCTCACTCCCTTCAGCTTTTTGATTAACTCCCAAGAACCCGCGAGGCTGACCAAACCTAGAGGGTTCGAGGCACCCTCATTCTCAGGGGGTTGGGCTGTGTAGCGGCCAGGGGGCGCCCTATTCTACTAACGTAGTCTTCCCAATCAATCAGTCAATTTTCAATGTTGTGGATTTTTGTTCTCATTCTGTTTTTGCGCTACTTGTTTGAATTGATAAATGGACCCGGCACACATATTATACGAGTTCTTTATCGTTTTTGTCTTTGCTTTGTGTTACAGGGAGGAGGTTAAGGACCATTCTGTCCGATGGGGTGCCAAATTTGAATTTGTCTGCAAAATGAGTGCAAATGCGTCGACAGGCATTCTGGACCCCTGCATTCTCAGGGTCTCCGTTAGGAAGGTAAATTCCTCTCCAATTTCCGTCTTGTCTTTCCCATAGCACCGAAGCATTTTAATTTTTAGAACCCTCCCGTTTTTGTTGATCTCACTTTCTTTTTTTTTCTTTTTTTTTTTACTATTTAACATATCTTGAGCCTTGCATGTGTTACCCACAATTTCTCATATCTGAGGAAGCTTAATCTTGGCAATATGCTCAAAGTTTTTGGGACTTTTACTGATGAAAGCAGTAGGTTTTTTCTTTAGCCCCTATTTTAAGAAGTAGAGACATTCTAGGTTTTACTCCCAAAGGCAGCTACATCTAATTCCTAATTGAAGGAGGGGGGGCATTAAAAAGTTGAGCCCTCAACTTTGAAATGCATTAAGTAGCTTCGCCAAAACCAATTGTGGTAACTTTTATCTTGTTTTTAAGCTCTCGTTGCATAGAATCGTTTCAATGCCGCGTTGCATTGACTTAAGAGTGCAGTTTCTTGTAACCGGATTTAAGAGTCTTGAACTCTTGTTTCAAGCGGATTTTGCATTGATTCAATTCAAACGTGAATTGAATCAATGCAAAATCCGCTTGAAACAAGAGTTCAAGACTCTTAAATCCGGCGACAAGAAACTGCACTCTTGAACCAAGAGGTTTTTTTACCAGTGTTTGCTTCCTCCTAAATTTCTCTAAACCACAAAATTCTCTATAATTTTTAGAATCTTATTTTTTTTCGTGCAAAATTTGAGCATGAAAATATTTTCGGGTTTTTTTTTTTTTTTTTTTTTTTTTTTTTTTTTTTTTTTGTATGCCGAATATATTCTTTGACAAGCTGTGTGATGCTAGGTTCTGTCTAGATATAAAATCACCTGCATCTCAAGAGTTCTTGATTCAATGTGTAAAAAGTAACCGATACCGCTCCTGGAAACCTGAACGCATCAAACCATACCCATCCCTGGGGCTAGGTTGCAGAGCGGTTAGGGAGTGCAGGGCCTTAGTCCCAAATTAAGATTCAGAGTTCTCAGTGTTTATTGCTTAATGAGATAGAGTTTAAGGTTTTTTCATATTATAAAATATTGAATCTTCTTTGTTTTGTTTCCTCTAGGAGCTAAAAGGCGGACGCTCTTATCAAAAATTAGGATTTACAGACTTAAATCTTGCAGAGTTTGCAGGCTCAGGTCTCATGACTCGCAGATGTCTTTTAGAAGGCTATGATACTAGGCATAGACAAGATAACTCCATGCTAAGGCTGAATATCCGTATGAATATGCTATCGGGTGATGTTTTATTTAAAGTGTAAGTTACTTCGCCCTTTCGATATTCAATATTAGAGAAATCAGTACACAACTCATGTGGAAGGTCCAAAGTAACATCGAGAAATTTACCTAGAATGTACTTAAATTTTTTATATTAGAACTAAGCAAAAGTATTAGCTGGATCACTGGTGAAAATTAAACTTCTCTCATCAAGATTTACCTGCTGCCTTGCCACAGCCAAATATGCTAGAGGATCATCATTTTTCTAGAGAAAATACATATCAAACGCTCACATTTTGAAACTATCATTTCCTGCCTCTTAAAAATTACACAAACTGATTGGGGTAGACACACTTGTACGACAGTATGTTATGACATACACACATATACATGTGTCGTATGACAGTATGTAACTCCAACATACTGTCTTAAAAATTAGTCAGCAAATAAGATCCCTTTTCAATTTAAGAAGTAAGTCACCACATAAACGTCCCGCAGGCTTGTAAATTACTTCATAACATTTTTGAAAATCAACACCGTTATCTTTTCACAATCATAAGTGGTTTGCATTCAGCAAAAAGGAACCAGCACGATTACAGTGTTGTAAAAAAGTTGCTTCTTCATAATTATCCACAAAATCTCTTAGAATAGCAAATAGTTTTTGCTTCCCACCAAAAAATTGTCAATTTTTAAGGAAAATAATTGTGCAAATTTTAATACTGTACCTACATTCAGTATTTTTGAAAGAAAAGAAGAAGTTGCACGATTTTGAATACACTGCATGTAATTGTGTTCCTCTTTGCTAAATGCGATCCAAGTATCTGTCAGATTGTTTTTTAGTATGACATCTGTTAGTGCTTTAATTGAGGCATTCTCTCAATTTCAGTCCTTCGCCATCTCAAAAGCAAAAGCAACTATCTGAAGGGGATACTGCAGATAGAATTAGAGGAGAAGAATTTTCTAGTGGTAGCTCAGGTTTTGGAAGTCTACCCAAGAAGAGGCCTCCTTTATTCTCCTCAGGTTCGTAGAGCTCATTTTTAAAGAAGGATTATAAAGATAACTTCACAATTTTTTATGCAGAAGATTGCCAAGCATTGATTCAACCATTTGTCCTGATTTTGAATGAATGCCAAACTTCCTGAGCTCCAAGAGTCTTATTCAACCAAAAGCTGCAAAACTTGAAAGATTCTGGTGATATGAGCATTAGGAATTTATTGCAAGCAGCTAGGGATTTAAATAGGAACTTTTTTGTTCCAAGGAACATAAATTTTCCGAGGTCAGTTCCTGGAAATTCCGGGCTAACACCAATTTTTCTTTAATAGAGAAACACATGGTAAGCTGGGCTTTTTGCTACATAATTTTGTGTAAAAACGCTCTTTTTCACGGATCTCATTTGATGCCTAACATTCCTAATTTCTTTCATGACTTCAATAGAATAAACTCATTATGCGTCTGAAATCACTTTTTTGGTGATTAGAATAATCTGACTTAATGATGAAAAGTTGAAAAAGAGTTTGAAAGAAAAAAAATGGTATTTTTAAGCTATGAGATGTAATTGTTAGAGGGGCCATCAGTACCGTATGATGGCCAATATGGGAAGAATGCCCTCTCTCTATTTTGCTTTCCAGTCGTTTTCTTGATTTTCTTGCCTATCTTCTTATCTACTCTATCGAAATCAAATCCCCTGATATCCAGTCTTTCTTCTTGAACAACAGAGTTGTTAACCAGTGCTAGTGGAGCTGTTAACACAGAACCAAGTGGTCAAGATACAGTGTCAGAATTAGAACCTCCTATGGAGCAAGAAGAAAATAACCATTCCTCAGAACCGGGGCACTCCCGGAATTCTTCCAATACAAGTCAGTTGAGTCGGGTCTCAGGATACAGTTCACAACATTCTCGGCAATCTAGTTCTGGAACAGATTCTGCAGCTGCTGGTCATACAAGGTACGCCTTAATCTTCAGGTCGTTTTCTGTTTTTTATTCTTCATCAATTTCAATGGTCTCTCCTCATTATTTTTACCATACCTCATGAGTAATTGTCTTTTTCATGTATTTATTTTTTCAACTGAACTTTCTAGCACTCAGCTCTTTAGGATTTAAAGCGATTTAGCAATGATTGCAATGGGTTGCAATTTTATCGGCAAATTACTGCAATTCTGTGAGTGGCAATTTGTTGCATTTAATTAGAATTGAAGATTGTAATTATTAAGACAAACCAAGAGACAATCACTGCTTTATTAATGCTGGTATTTGACAACGTTATAACTGAAAAAATCGCGATGAATCGAATTGTAATTTGACAAAATCCATTGCTGATGATACTGATGATCCTAGCAATAAAGCTTCAATAAAATTTTCACTTCATCTCAATGATATGCAATTTTTTTGTTGAAAAATGCTGCTCAGGTGGTATTTCCATTGGAATGGATTTTAACGAATAAGGCCCCAACTAAAAATTGTCTTCTCAATTTTGTAGATATTGATTTTGTTAGATTGTTGATTACTATGATAAATCCTATGTTATAGTTAATAGATGGAAGGAGTTTTCATTCATTGCACCAATGTCTGGTTTTTTTTACGTTTTTATTATACCTATTTATGCAGCCCTATGAAACAATGCAATGAAAGTCAGTCACTACGCCATTCATTTAAAAGCATATCTGGAGTGACCCTGCTCCTATTATGGAAAATTGTCAAGCTAATGACAACTATGAGGAGGAGGGGGAGGGGAGAATTAGTTACCATTGATTGAATTCTGCAAAGCTTAAAATGGCAGTGCCAATATTCATGTGTCAGTGCAAGGATAGTAGCCTGTAGAACCTGACCTTTGAAAGTCAACTTTGTTCTGTGAATAAAGTGGGAATTACTGTAGCTGCCATGCTTAGGAGTAGGAACAAGAGTCAGAATGCCCATGATCGATGAGGGTGACCTCTGAAAACTACCCCGAATAAAAATCTAGCGCAAAAACCTCAGCTGCGTCTCTTGTGTGGAGAATCGTTTTTTGTCTCATAAAATGGGTACAAAAAACGAAGAAGCAATGGATATAATCTTTTACATTTGCTTCACCAAGAAATCAATTCAATTCATGAGAGGTGCAAAAGAATGATGGATTGACAGATAGTTCAATAGAGTGATTGAAAACTTGCTTAATTAAAATTTCTAAGAAGTTTAAAACTTAGATGCACATTTAAAGCACTTCTTCAACGTTACTAGCAATTTTCATTTATTTGTTTATTTCTGTGTGTATAATTTGGCAATGGTTGCTGTTGATATAGATTTACATCAATGTCTGATGAAAAATTCTTGCTAAAGTGGCAATTTTTTAAATCAGAAACTTTACCAAAATCAAATGTCTGAATTTACCAGCTTTCTGAGCTACCATTAGTTCATTGATTCATTTTCTCTATTCACCCAGTTTCTTTCCAATCTTTGTGTTGAGGAAAACGTCTTGTTCCAATGTGATATTCCTTCTATAGCCAATGATGAAGTGGATGGTTTCCAAGTTTTTTAATAGGAAAATATGTTTTCAAGGAAAAGAGGGAATCTTATTCGTTGTTTTTGTGTTGTATACATATTGGATTAGCACACTGTTTTGTTCATCTGAATTTCTTTTGAGGTTCTGGAGTTCAAGGCAACAATTATGCCCTAATTTCATACAAATTTAATGTGTGTCAACACTATTTTATCCTAGTGTGGAGGATTTACTCAGTCCTGAAGATGAATTCAGTCTTTTGACATTGTATTCTAGAAGAGTCAGTCAAAGTCTCCCTGGTTGGGTAAAACTAGAGGAAAATTACTGTCTCTTCTCCTGATAGTAGATAAAGTAGGAGAAAGAGAAGGAGGATTGAAGAGGCAAGATAAAGAAATAGAAATTGAGAGACCAGTCGCTGCACCTGCTAAAAATGTTATCGGAGGCAAGGTTAAGATTCCAAAAATATGTTTTCGGGCCATTAACTTGGATTTGCATTCCCTCCTCAGTCCTCCCCTCCCATTTAATGTGGTTGCATTTACCTTTGACTAGTTGATGTAAATCCTGTCACTGTCACTGGATGTGGTGTTGGAAAGTTACTTTGAAGGATCATTCATGTTTTTCTTTTCTTTGATCTATTATCTTCATACATATTTTTTTTTCTTTTTCTGCTTTTTTCTGTGCAAAATTCAATGAAAAGCAGTAACGGATCTTAAACCATCTCTTAAGATATTTTGTCTTTTCAAATTTGTATTATGACACTCAAGTGATTGACAAATAAAAATGTTTGTACCCATATAAATGTAAATGGAACCTTAATAATGGACATTTACTTGACACTTTTAGCTTTTTTTATTCTTTTATTATTCAATTCATCCTGTGCAACAGAGTAAAGTTGATCTCTTATAAAAGCTGTTGATCCTTACTTACAAATTGGAAACAGATTGTGAGAGCGAGTGTTATAATATTGACCAGAGAAAAAATTCACAGAATTAATAAATCAGTAAAAATCTGGCAATCTTTTTATTTTTCTGTCAATCTTTCTTTATGTCCAGTCTAACAGTGGTATTGTATATTGTTTCTTCAGTTTGGTCCAACTAATCCTCATGTAGCGTCATGAGAGTCCATTTGAAAGTCATGACTGAGAACATGAAAACCTGTGTTCCCAGAGAAAATTTTCAGTTGTGATTTAGAAATATTTTAAAATATTCTACTGTTATAATTTTTATGTTTTTAAATCAATGGGCTCATTTTGTTTATTTTCTGTCGACTCAATACATTTTCTATTTGGTGAGTGGTGAAATTTATGTTTGTAGGTCGCCATCTTGGCCGGTCTGGTCTCCGGGGCTACCCCCAGTTCAATCGGCTCCTGCTTCCCCTACTCTTCCCTCTACCCCCCTCTCTACTCACCCCACAACTAATAATCGGAGAAGGTTTTGGTCAACCTCCAATAACCACTCTTTGAGTAGTATAGCCATTGGAACAACTCCCAATTCATCGGTGCGGATTAATAACAACAAGCCACCAAAAAGTCCTCCCAGTTCATATCAAAACAATAGTATTCCGAAGCATTTACAAGGGAACGATGTAACTCCTAGTCCTATAGCGAAATTATCTGCAACCGCGAATATTTTTAGGTTCCCTCCATGGTCCGGACCTGGCCCCTCACCCCGAACATTATCCTCGCCAGGGCTTCCCACTCCTCTCAGTGACGCAACCAATCAGAGGTAAATTTTTTTTCACGTGATTTTTTCATCTCCCCTTGCTTTCTGCTGCTCTTTTTAAAGTGCTTCCTTCATGAGGGGTTTCTGAGAATTTGCTGCTCAAAAATAATTATTTTCTTTTTTTTTTCTTAATTCAATGAAAATATAAACGTAGGTGGGTGATCGGATTTGAAATGAGTTGCAACAAGATAGCAGCCAAGGTGCAAAGTGTGCTCTTACAAACAAGCTCTCTCATTACCAAGGGAAAATCTCATTTAGAGCATAAATTTCCCTTTATAATACTCACCGCCTAAGGCAACAATATTAAACATTTGTTATGAAGGTGCTTCAGGCCCAATTCTTCTCTCATGGGATAACTATAAATCATTAGCTGATAAAGTACATACTAGGCACCTGCTTAAGAAAGATTTGTCTTACTCCAGAAATCAAAAGCCCTTTTACGTCTGCATTCTCTCCACTGATTTTGTGAGTAGGTTTCTAGATTTATATGTACATGCAATAATTTAAGACCATCGGCTGTGAAATTTATCCATCTCATTGGATTTTTTTCAAAGGGACGTCCCATATGTAGGTCTTTGACAAATGGCAGGAAGCACCGATATTACCAGGGCTAATAAATGTTATTGGGGTTTAAATTTGAGCAAGAATTCTATTGAGGATAATTTAATGATTTCTTCCAACTTACAACAGATCGATCTGAGTTTTTGTTCTATGTAGTTAGCTCGCTTTGGTTTCCAACCAGCCAACCCTCATGACACCTTCAGTTTTAATCCAGGAATTGCTTTTCTAACAAATCTCATAGCATGGTTGTTTATAACAGGTGTTTCTATCTTGATCAGAAGGTTTTTAGAGTCATCGGGTGTAATTTCTAGTGTATTAATGGTTTTAAAGAAAATCATTTACCTCAATTGCAGTATTTCAAAGTTGTTCTTGAATTATTTTTCTAAAGAGAAACGAACAAATTTTTTTGTTTTAAATTTTCCCAGAATATTCTTTAGACAGAAAAGGAATAGTACAAAGATTTATGAAAAATGACTTAGATGTTTTCCCTTTAAAAACCAACCAGGTTTGCGATGCTGCAATTGAGATACAGTGTTTTTTTTTTATCCTCATTATCGATATTTCATTTCTCTTGGTTTCCTTCAATTCCTATAGGATCCTGGTTACTTTCATTCTATTCATCCCAACTTAGCAAGAATCTTTCTCGCGGCATTGGTGTATCTCCAAATAAGAGTCGACTTATCTATTTTTTGCAGGGGATGTCTGCAAGTGTAATGTCTAATGCTTCCTAAAATCTTCTTTGTATATCCTTTTAATTAATTCCCTTTTGTAGAAATGCAATGCATCCTTTTAGTTTTTCTCTACCTTTTCATTGTAATTATTATGTTCGGGGTCTAACAGTTGCTTCACAGGTTTTTCATCCTTATAGCATGAATGAAGTCAAATCTTAAAGATTTTTTGAGATTAGGTCATCGTCATGCACAAAATCAAATTTCCCAAGAGGGCACAGGATAAAGAGGATGTCTTCAAAAAGATTGGGGTTGCGTTACCCACTATCATGCTAGATGTGTTCTTCATTCTATTTTTTTTCTTATTTTCAATTTTTTTTTTAAATGACATTTTTATTCATAGTGAATAGTAACAAATTTCAAGCCCAATAGAGCCTGCCACTTTCTTGCACTATTAATTTTTTTGTAATTGAACGACTTACATTCATAATACTAAATTTATTATCAAAGAATTTCACTAGAGACTTTTTGAAAAATGATAAACCCAGAGAAAGAATAGAAACATACGTTACTTTTATTCGGACTGCTTTTAGTGGAGAGAAATCATTTTCTTACCTATTTCAGTAACTGAGTGCCTGCATATTTTATAGACAACATTTTCCAAGACATATTTTCAAAAGCTTTCTCCTACCCTCTCTCCAATCTCTTTACACTCTTCCGTCCACCATCAACCTATGAGTAGGCCCTTTTTTCTCCCATAAAACTTTGTTTCTTTCTGCTGAGTGCAGTTCATTCATTTTTCTCTGTAAGCAAAGTATAGTGTGATGGAAAATCTAATAAGTTGTATAATTGTAGGTCTATACTGCCTCCACATAGAAAATTATTAGATGGAAGCTGTAAAACTAGTCTACCCACAATGATAAGCCCAGACTTGCAGCCAGAAGAATCAGATGCCCATTCAACTCCTCCTTCATGTATCACGCTGCGCAGAGCTAGTCAAGTGTTAGTCTCCTCTGTTTTCTTTTCAGTTGACTAGTTTTTGCATAATTTTCTTAACTCTTCTAAACTATCCATTTGAGAACTTTAGAAATGTATTTCACCAATTACTTCCCCGTTTTCTGTCAGTTCTTTTCTTTTAGTCATACATTCTCCTCTCTTGCATCTTGACACTGTAGTTTTTTGTTCGGTTTTTTTTCTTTTTTTTTCTTTCTTCGAGACAAATCAATTTCTCATGGTTAGCCTGTTTGCAGAGTTTTTCAGTGTTTCAAATTTATTCTCCAATTCATTTTGATCCTTCACTAAATTAAAAGTCAATTTTTTTACGTTTTTAATTTTTTTTTTTTTTTATAACCTTTGTAAGTCTTGACTGGTGCCAGCATTTCAAAACTATGAGGCTGTATGTATCAAATAAAATCATCTTCTCTCAATCAAATCCAGATCCGATGTCTAAATTTACCTTGACCTTTTGACATTTTTGAGAAAAGACGTTCCCCCAAAGTGCCTCTGAAGTAAGTGTTTTGAAGGGCTAAAAATATTTTCATAAATATCCTTTGAGTTACATTAGCCATGAAAGTCTTTGCTCTATCTACTTACAATGCATTGATGTTTCAAAAAATAACCATTTTTGTTTGTAACTTTTGAATCATTAAAGATAGAGGTCCAATCTTGGCTCCATTCAAGTGTGGATGTAAAAGTACATAAACTGCTGATTTTTTGTAAAAATTTTATTCAGAGGTGATCGTCAAGAGCCAAGTGTGTGTCCTTTGTCTGAAATATGCACTTCCTAATTCACATTGAATTATCCCTAACAGGTATGTTTTTTAAACTATGGAGAGGAAAATTTGTGTTGCCCTTCACTTCTAACTGCAACCCCTTAAAGGCCCCCTTGAATATCGAAGTGGCAGTAGCAGCTACCTAGATTTCTACCCAATTAATGAGTTATTTTGAAAGCAGATTTGGCCACATTCCAAATCTACAACAAATTCCCTCTATTCCTCTTTTTTTTTCATTCTTTTCCTAAGGCTCTTTTCTATTGTTTTTGTTAAGTCTGAAATCTGATCTTGCATTTGGTCAGTGCCAGCCTTAAAACTATTTACTCTAGTAATACCAGCTTTTTTTTCTGTAGCTGATTTATTCCTTCCTTTTAAAAAGCGACGGTGAAACTCGTAAACCATGTACATACTTTGTTAGTTTTAAAATCTCTGCTTCAATTTTATTTTTTTGAAGGAGAAAAAAACCAGCATCATTCCCTGAAGTTTCATAGAATTAATTCGAGCTAGTTTTTAAGTTATTACAGAATTTTCTTGACAAAGAGAAGAATACTCACTGCTATTTTCAAGAATTGCTGTCGAATAGTTTTCTGTTGAAAATATAAAGTACTACAGGAGGTCTGCAAAGTCGCTAACCAAGACACATGGTTTGAGAGTTTCACTATAACAATTTCCTCTGCCATCACTCTCTAAAACGATGGTAGGAGGGGAAAGGGTTATTATTTCCTATTTTGCATGCTAATAGCTGATAATTATGCCTTAATTTCATTTTAACTACAGTTTATTTATAATTTTCCTTTGATTAACTGTGCACAGTATTTTGTTGTTGCTGTTGTTCCAATCAAATTTATTTTTGTATATTGAACGCTACTGATACTTTGTGAGACATTTTAGGAATAAAAATTTAATATCCCCTCACTAATTTTCTAGCCCAAATAACTTAAAGACAAAACATTGTTTTTAAATTTCACTTAAAATCTCTAGCATGAGACTGTTGCTTGATCTTGAAAACGCTTGAAAATCCTGGAAAATATTCATACCATTAAATCATAGAAATGTTCCCACGCTCAAGAAGGAAAATAAAATCCTCTCATTTTCCATGAAGGTAATTTTTAAGATGGTTGAGAACTAGAAATGTTGCACATTTGCTTCTGATCTTCAATATTTGATGAAAGGTTCACGCATAGCCTCAGCTCCTTAATTTTATCGAGGAAGCAATGCACGCTTTGAAACGTTGAAATTGTTGTAGCCACAATTAAACGCAAATGAACACCATCGATGAATAGTAATATCAACAATATAACAGTTTGTGTTCAGTTTAACATGAAAATGAAAATAGAAGCTAAGTTCTCTTTTAAGTAGCTGAGAAATCAAACTCTTATTGATATTATCCAGGGTACCCCTGCAATCCTTGAGCACATAATTACATACTGCAGGGAGTAGTTTGAGCAACCTAAAATTTTTCAATTGTTCATCTGGATTTATCTGCAATTTCTTTTTTCTTTTTAACCAGAAATGCAAGCAGTGGTTCCGGTGGTCTTAGTGAAACTGGCTCTTTAGATCGTGGAAAAGCAGCACTAGAAAGGCGGAAGAAGGCAACGGAAGAAACAAGCACAGGAGGGAGAGTAGAAGGAACACGAGTCAATCCCGACAGTTTGATTGATGAGTTAATTAAAAGTTCAAATTTGGACAAACCGGATGACACCACCTCTAGTAAGTGATTTGCGTCGAAAATTTTCATGGAGCCCCAGGAAGTTATACTCCTAATATCTTACCCGGCTGTCATTAGGGTTGCTTTTAGGGCCACCCTTAAAACTTAATTCCCCCAATATTATGCTCAAACTGCTAAAAGTATTGAGCAGAACGTTCCGGATCGTTCATATAATTTTGTAGTCCGCTAAAACCCTCCTAATCAACAATGCTAGATGGCTGTCTAGATGCAGTCTCATTACAGGGATACTTCAAGGTTAAAAAGTTGAAAATGATCAAAACGGACAATGATGGTCTCATATTACAGCTGTAAGAGAAAAAACAATGTAGTAAATATTTCCCTCCCATAATATTCCATATGTACCTATTTAGATAATATTTTTGAAGCCATCTCATCATATGGGCTATCCTTAATCATCAAGTCTTAGCAGCATGCTATTTTTGACAAAAATAATTTGGACCTCTCATGGGTTATCCAGGGACATAATGCCTAAAAGTGGAAAATGAAGATAATAATATCTCTGCATAGACAAGTGTCTTTCTTACTTTAGGCACAAAAAAAGCTCTTATAGTGGTACTACCATTATAACTTTCTTTAAATGTTTTCTGAATTTAAGAAAAAAAAGCCTAAAAATGTCAAACCAAATTGGAGTTATGTTGTTTTGAAGTCTGATGTCCAAAAATTTTCTTTTGAGAAAAAGTGATTCAGAGTTTAAAATTCACCATATTTTAAGCTTGAACCTCACCTTTTTTGGAAATTTCCCCTATCATAGTTATTATTAGCACGCAAATTTTTGTCAATGTCATATTTTCTTTAAAAAATTACAGAGGATAATTTTTTCTCCCTAAAAAATAATCTAAGTTTACCATACTTTCCTTCAGTATCAAACTTCAATATGGAACAATTCTGAATTGTTATTTACAGGCACTGGTTTACAACTATTCATAGCAAAAGATGGAACAACAGCATTAGGAGGCCACGATGTAGCGAGTCAAATGCCAATCGGTGTATTTAAACAAGTAGTTATGGAAGAAAACAGATAACATACAATTCATATGTTCGGTGAGTTTGCAATTTCAATTTTCAAGTTTTTCTCCACTAAGTTACAGAATAGATTCGTCCACAAATCACTCCAAGTTGCCAACACCATAGAAGTAGTGTAAGAAGTTTTATGAGGGCCATTACCAGGAAAATCCATGGGTGTTTTATAGCAAGAACCCCTGCCGTTAAAATTGCATGTTTCCCAAAGAAATTCCAGGATTTATGCATTAACAAAAAAAATACAGGCATTTTATGGAAAGGATAATCCGTCCAGCAACCAATGATTTTTTACAAAACACTACTAAAAAATACTGTATTTTCCTTGAGATTTTTAAATTGTAACAATGATTAACCTGGGAACCAGACATGGATGGTTTGTGGATTATCCTCCGGGATAAAATTTTCCTCAACTTTTTGCAAAAATTTAAATAACGAGCATGATGTGCATTGGTCACATTAAAAAATCTGGAATGTACCCCTCAGCGTGCACCCTGTGTTGTTCGTAACATATATTTTCAAATTTAACGCATCTGTGGGCAGTTTTCCATAGTGGCCGATAGTTAGGTTTGCCCAGAATGAAACTTGAGAAAAACTAACATACTTAAAAAAACCATTTTGTAAACTTTTTTTAGTGTATGATTTTATTCGTTTTCTTGTATTTGTTTCCCTCTTCTTTCTTTGTTCTGCAAAAACAAAGTGATTGAAATTTTACGCAAGGAAAGTTTTTAACAGATTGCGAGACTGTTTGTTCATTTAGGTTAGGTTTTCTTGAGTTTTTCTCTAGGCAAACTTGAGTGTCTGCCACTATGAAATACTATCTGCAGATGCGGTAAATTTGAAAAAGCATGTTATAAACAACGCAGACTGTGCTCCAGGGAGTAGATCTCAGACTATTTGATGCTCTCAAAGTGAGTTTTGTATGATTTTACATGCAGAGAGTCTATTCACTTGGCTATATCTCTCAAGTACAACAGACCCATTTTTTCCCTTTTTATGTGTGTTCCTTCTCACTGCTAGTTGAACAAATTCAATAGTTTCTTAGAATAAAAAAAAAAAAACCATAATCATCCATTCTTCAGGAACCACGATTATCACTCACCTGAATCTAACCTACTTATCAGTTCACTACCAAGTTTCTAAAATATTTTTCCTCTTCTTTCAGACCTATGCAAAATCGTGGAATAATCGCGCTGAATTCATAGTATATTTCTATCAGTCCTGTCTGTCCTTGGTACCAGTTTTTACTGCTCTCAGTGTTATTTTGTGAGTTATTGTCGATGACTTGTAGCCTACAGTTTTGTGGGAAATATTTCTCGCTTTTTTTTTTTGAAAACCTTCTATTGTTATTTATTATTTCTTGTGTACTGAAAAACTATTCATTTTGAAATCCATCTTTTAACTAACATAATTTTCTGTAATGTTTGTTTGCGCATATTTCTCACATAATAAGTTTAAACCTTGCTCTACTTTTTCTTTATTTTTTCAAGGAGTAAATTATTTTTGCCCTATAGCTACATTTATGCGGCAGATTAACTTAAAGTCTTGTTCACTAAATATGAGGGCAGGAACCAGGGTTTAGTCTCAGAAAACTCATCCTAACTTGAGTCAGCTTAAAATTTAAAGTTACACCTTAAAACTATCTTGACCTAAATCCTCCTGAAGAGATGTTTATTATCATTGGAATCCCCATACTTGCTGTTGTTTTATCAGGAATTCAAGTTCAGTCATTTTCAACGAGAATTTGAGAATTTTGTCCGTATTTGCTAACATATTCATGTGTTTTTTTCAATTCAAATCATACAGTTTCTTTACATTTTGTGGAGAGGCCATAGAAGTTTACTGAGTTACGAATGAGACCTGGATTTAGAATGTCGCATAAGTGTAGTTAATTCCAAATCGAGGTTGTGAGGTTTAGGGTTTTAAGTTTTGAAAATGGATTGGAGGTAGAATTTCTTTCAAATTTTGGTTGTTCATGAAACAATATTTTTAATAAATGGTCCGAAATTGTGGAACGCCTTTATGTAACATTTTAAGATTTTTCAAGTGGAATGTCACCCTATTTTTTGTTGTTCCGCCCAAAAGCTTTTGCTTTCTTCTTTAAAGATAAGTTGAATGGTTAAAGGAAAAAATTAAAAGGAGATTTCAGAACTGTACAATGTCTTGGTTGCATTTGTCTGTCATCTTCATTTTATCTCTTGCTTGAGGTGAACTAATCAATGTCTTAAAGTAAATGATAACTATCTTTGCAATATCCTCCACGAGAACATAATCTAATGATATCGAAGTGTAAGACTCCTTTAGGGAGGCAACTCAATTTTTTCATTTTCCTGCGATTCTAAATACTTCTCTGTGTCTTTCACAATGTGAAGGTTTTTCCCTGGGAAGGTTTTTTTTTTTTTTTGTCAGCAGTTAGTATCATGTCTTTAAAATCTCATTCAATTAAAATTTCTTATTATGATCTTGCTCTATAATCCGAACAAGCCATTTATTTCTTTTGAATTTCTGCATGAACAGTAATTACTGGAAACTATGATGATGAAAAATTTGAAGCTCTCAATTTTATCTTGAATTCCAAAAAATGAGTCCCATATTAAAATCAGGTAACAACTAAGGTGAGTGCAATGAAGGTATGCTCTTCCAAAACAGACCACCGAAAGTGGACAAAAGATACAGTTGTGTTCGGGTTTTTTTCTCAGTTTCAGTGGGAAGTATGTAGCAGGGTTTCAACTCAGCAATATTTAATTCTTATTTCTCCGCTCTTCTGCCTGGGCCAATTTTCCAAAAATTGAGCGTTTTGTTGATGTTAGGCGATTAAATAGGGGAAGAGCGTACCTTAGTTTCACTTACTTTGGGTAACAGCAACCTCCACTTCGAAGAATGTTGTGAAAATCCTTGCAAGCTTAAAACCGTTCTCACTTTGTGTCAAGTTTCCACTTGAAGCTCCTAAACTCATGATACCACCGACACTACTTGCCTGAACTTTCCTCTTTGTAGGAAAGTTTATTTTATATTCTAGTCTTAAAGAATTTTTGTTCTTTTAGTGATTTTAGAAATTTTCCTATAATGCCCAGAAGGATCTTAGATTGGATTTTCTGAGCAGTCAATTTTTTACTGCCTAATACCTTCTCAATTCTCATGCCATCAGACATCAGTCTGAAAGACAGTAAATAATTTGTTTGTAGTTTCCCAAGAGCATTTTTAAAATTGTTATGAAAAAATCGGAATATGTTAAGTAGTTTTCGCACAGCAAGGGGCCAAAGTGGGATGAAGGGGGGGGGGGTTAATTTTGTCTACGCTATAACTCGAGTAAGAATGAATATTTTGAGCTGAAATTTTGATGGTAGCCAGAGATTCTCTGAGACTGGTTTTCTACAGAATTTCAGCAAAATTTGCACCCATGTTTTGAAATGGCGGTCATATATATTTATTATAGGCGGGAAGAAGGGCGCGAAAACACAAGAATAATTACCATTCTGAGCTGAAATTTAAGATGCACTCAAGATGCAATGATGGAATGCTAAGTTTATAGAAAATCTTTGGAAAATACACTCTTTACACAGTAAATATGCGGACTACAAAAAGAACTGTCTCCTCTACTTACCAACGACCCCTTACTATGCGGCAGGGTTTTTTTTTATTTCTCATTCTCTTCACCTTTTCCAAGTTTTTCAAATTTTTGGTCGTCAATTTTTTCCTCCCTCCCAAAAAGAAAGGCTTATAGTCTTGAACTTCTACATTACGCGCCTTTTCCCCTAAAAAATCGAGCTGTACAAATTTTTGCTGCTTTGTTAATCAGACTTCAGATGATATCCACTGAGCTGTGCTCATCTGTCTCAAATAAAGCAGTAAATAGTGAAATCGATCACTTTCTGCCCACTAGAGCTTTCTCTTTACCATTTACTGGTTAGGAACATTTTTTATTGTATTTCATTGAGTTCTAATTGAATTGATGAAACAATTGATCATACGGTTGATCGAAGGTGTCAATTCATGATGTATTTGTCACTTTAAGATTATTTTTCCAGTCCAAAATTCCGATTTATTCTTATTTATTCTTTGATCGTGAATAATTTTCCGGCATTTTTCATTTCATTACTGATTTCTGAACAACATTTACAACCCTAGTTTTGTACTATTCTCTCGATGAAATTCTAATGTAAAAAAAGGAAGATTGCACTAACGCCCCTCCTCAGGGGAAATGAAAATTTGTGTGCATGTTCCTCTTCCGCTTTTCCCTCCCTCAATTAAGCCTGTCAACTATTTCCATCAAAGAATAAAAGAGAAAAATGAAATCAATGTATCAGAAAATGTTTAGCTCTATTGAATAGGACAGCAATAGGTAATCTAAATCTTTGTTTGATGGCACAGCTGAATTTTCCAAGTGCTACAGCTCGCGAACCGAGTCAAGTACAAAGTAACGGATTTCTGCTCATTTCTCTCATTGGGGACTGTGAAAGTAGCTGAATTAATTTTCTGGGTTACTGCTTTTATTAATTGAAACGAAATAATCGTTAGATTTTTGCTTTTTCCATTCTTTGAACCTTTTTCAATTTTCTTCTGTTTAATTTTTGGCCATCCATTGAGTTAAAACAAGCATTAGAAATTTGCATACTTATTATTTTTCAAAGTTACCAATTGTATTATGACATATATAGTATAAATATGTACAGATCTTGTGAAAATTATTGTGGGAGCTGTGAATACTATTATATTATAGAAAAAGGACTCGCCTCTGGTTTGTCCCATGAACTGCTCATCCTTTATAGTACAATGTAGCTCATCATTGAAATGGCAAGACTGCAATGTCATTGACAGCGAAGGCATTGTTGACTGTGAACTAAGATCAATTGTTGTGCTTGAATAAATAAACAAAGCTATGTGTATGTGATTTCAAGGGAAAGACAAACCTGTCAACTGTATTTGTTCGATGACTTATCTTTTTTTTTACTTCAACAACAATTTTTGGGAATCACTTCATGTACTCTAACCGAAATTCCCCCTTTGAACATATTGATGAGTGGAGTGAGAGACCCAAACGTCCTTCTCAATCTCATTTGTTAACTCTAGCCATTTTCTATTAAGCTACATGTTATGGACATTGGCTAAGGATTACAGAAATCTTAAGAGGCTTTAGCCCAGTTAGTTTCAATGTTCAGCTCAAGTATATCCGATTCTTGTGAATTTCTTCTACATTCTTTCCCTCAAAAATCTGTTACCTGTGAATTTTACCATCTGCCCGCACAAAGACCTCACAGATCAAGTGGTGCGTACCACTCGTAAGAAAACATCTCTCAAGAGTGGAAGAATTCAATTCCATCAGATGCTTTAAAATACTTAACAAGCTCAAATATTCATCATAATTACTGTTACGCAAGACTGTTTTGCTGTTCGCCCAATGAGAATTGAATTTTCAGAAAGGACTCATACAATTTCAGAGCAAATGGATCTTTCCCACTTTAAGAAGTCATCAATGCTTCATATAAGTACATACTAATATGTATAGTTTACCAATCTTCATTGAAACAAAGGTCAGAACTTCAGTCAAAAAATTTCATAGAAACTTATACCATCAGGGAAACATTTTTAGGAAAAAAATAAAAAGAAGTAACATAAAATTGTTAAATTTGAGTTTTTCTAAAGATAGCCTATCAAAGAAAGATCGAGAGAAAGATATCAAAAGATTGTACCTATCTTTAACTACGTAAAGCATGTAATTGAATTTTTAAAATTTCTCAGCTGAAGTCTTAATAGAAATGAATTTCTAATCTATCGGACACTCTTTGTCTCTTAGATCCAGTCATAATTGAAATTTTCAATCTCACTAACATGCTAACCACTCGAGAATACTACTGGTTGTTGAGCTGAAATGAAACCAAACTTTGTCAAAGTCAGAATGTGCGGCCAATCACAGTATTTTTACCCAGGTAACACAGTGGAATGAAAATGTTGAAACATAGTTTCAATTTTGCCTCAGTGAAAGGACCCCACACACTCCTTATGGGAATGTGTGCCCTGATCGATTGTCAATTTTTGTTTGCATTAAATTCGTCTATGGAAGCTGATCAAAAGTCATCATTGCGGATGGGAAATATCAAAGGAATTTGAGAAGAAATCTCCTTATAGTATAAAGCGTACAGTTTCTGAACAATCAACTTCACTCATGGCAGGAATTTTGCATTATAATTCTAACTAATTACTATTGAAAAATATTTGGAGATCGTGAGATTTAAACTGCCAAGGACTAATATCAAATAATCACACTACTAATTTCTCTTGAATCTCCCTTTACCTCACATTAAGAGTTGCAGATGCTGTGACGCTGTGAGAAAGAAAAGTTAACTTTTTTCTCTAGCTCAACTTACAATTGCTTTTTTTTGCCATCCACCCCTCCCCCTCTCAGTCAAAAACTCAATTTTCCTTGGTTTCCTATTACTACTGAATTATATGATTTGGTGTTAATTTGAGACTCAAGGAAAAACACATTCTTGTTCAGTTTATTGCAACACATTCCTATGAGATGAATTCAGTGTATCAGAAAAAAGTCGCAACTTGTTACAATCATATTGCAATATTTTTCAACAAGTCAGCCCCTTCAATTAGGAAATAGGTATTATACACAACACTCCAGTGTAATTGCTATAGTTTTACCATGTAATCGCAATTTGTTGCAAGCTGTGCTGCTGGAGTAAGTGTTGAAATTCAACTGCTGTACCGTTTAAGTTAACTTTGTAGAAAAAGTGTCGTTTTACACTGAAATTTTCTTATTTTTAGAACATGCTTGAACTTTCAAGAACTTTTACTCCGATTTTTATTTTTTCAAGTGATTGTTTTAGGATATGAAGTGTTGTTACCAAACTTTTGCCTTAGTGAAAGCATTTAAGGTCTAGTTGTATTCACTATTACTGTACAAACTGGTGTATTATTTGTTAATTTCACTTGAATTTATTTGGAAGTAATTTTCTGGAGTGTAAATTTTAAAAATTGTATATAAAAGAGTTGTTATTAGTCAGCTTGCTTTTTTGTGTTTAATGCCTACGTGTGCAAGCATCTCCAGGAAAGTAATTCCTTACATTGCGATTCTAATGTATCTTCTTCTGCTCCTTTCATTAAATTGTTTGTTCTTATTCTGAACTGAAAATAATTGAAAAAACAGGATAAAAGAAAACTCATGATAGCAATAATATAATTCGATTTAATTCCTCAACCCTTTTTTTCTTTTTGGACGACTCTATAGTTTACCTATTTACAAATTCCAACTCTCCTATAGTTTCTTCAAAGAATTTTTGTCAAGAATTTGAATTTTTTTTTTTTTTTTTTACTTACAAAATACATTTTTAAGCCTAAATTACTTTGTCTCTATTGAATATTAAACTCCTAAGTAGTGAAGAACAAAACGCACAGAACCTAACGCGTAGAACTGTGTTACCATGAGGGATGTGGTTGCCTGGGTGTCACCTTACGATCAAAGCTTAAAAAATCCTGAATCAGAAGAATCGTGAATTTTTTGAAAGAAAGTGATTTTGGGACAAATCTCTCCGAAAACAAGATGAAAATGGGAAAGGTGTAATTTTTCTCAGTATTAATTTATAAACAAAGCATGCTTTTGGATATCTCAAATAGAGATAGAAGGTAAAATTGAAACAAAATGCGTTATTTTTTTTTTTAATGAATCCCTGTGAACTTAATTCCATTCTCTGATAAGGGTGTTTCATAAAATGAGTCGTGAAAAAAACAAGAAGCAGTTGACCGCCTGGGGGTCCAAGGATTGAAAACTCTTGGATTGGCCGTGAAGGTTTGCTCATGCAATTCTGAAAGTGTCTGTAGTATTCTGTTAGTATCTTTAAGGTGAAACTAGGAAAACATAAATGTTTCAATTTTTCTCTACTGTTTGAAAAAAAATTTGTGAAAATGTTCTCCTTTCAAATTTAAAATAGGAGGATACATTTTACAGCACTGCATTCAAGTCAAATGTTTCGCTAGTTTCACCATCGATTTGTTAATGGTCCTGAGGAAATAGTATGGGACCATCAAGTAAATGACAAAATATATCTTAACTGTGAGGCTTGAACTGCTATTTTATAATGTAGGTACCTATTCTGAGAGTAATTATTCTTTATTTACACAAGTTGGGAGCTACATACACAAAAAAATTATACCTAACTGCAACTAGCATCAAGTGTTATTTTTACTTCCATAGAAGTCTACCTTGTATGTTCATGAACTCTGAATGTTGCAGTTGCTCAAATGAAAAACTTGTTTACCTACCGAATCTACAGTTCCATTTCCTCATTCAAGATTATTTTAAGTGCTACATACATTTATAGCAGCAAAATCAGTCGCAATTTTAGCATTTAGAAGATGCTAAGTTGGCAGTTTACCTCTCTCTTTTTGTAAGCATCACATTTATCTCCATTGGCAGAGGTATAATCTCTTGTATCATTTAGAAGGTAGACAGTAAGTTGGAATTTTTTAGCCAATGTGTGTTAAAAATCAGCATAAAGCTGAAAGTCTCAGAGAGAAAAAAACGCATATGGGCACAATTTTCCCTCAAAGAGATTCCTTGTTTGGTACAACACTAGTAACGACCAATCAGGAAGGCAACTGCAGACGCATTTTGACCTCATTGGGCCAATCCTCACTGCAGCGCTGCCTTCTGAATTTCCTGCTACCAAGCGACCGCTTGCCCAAGTCTCAGGCTGGTTTTCACGACCTCTCCGAGCTTGGTAGCAGGAAATGCAGGAGGCTGTGCTGCACTGAGGATTGGCCCAATGAGGTCGAAACGCATCTGCAGTTGCCTTCCTGGATGGTCGTTACAGTGTTGCACCAAGCAGCGTATTTCTTTGAGGGAAAATTGTGTTCATATGAGCTTTTTCCCTCTGTATTGAGATTTTCAGCTTTATGCTGAACGTGTACGTTGGCTAAAAAATTCCAACTTACTGTCTTACGACCCATGTGTCTACTGCAATCAATTTACATTTAAAAGTTGGCAACAGCATTGCACCTGCAACTGCCTTTTTCACTTTTCACCTTCTACAAATCCTGTCAGGGTAGCTCTTTTTTCACAAGATGGAAATGCAATTTTAGCTCCACTCCAGTCAAAGTGTTTGAAATGAATCGTTTCGGAGGCTCGAAACAGCGCCTACGCCCACAAATCGTAAGTAAGTTACTATGAGGACTCCCTTAAAGGCGGTATCATCAAATGATGATACCGCCAAATTTTCGAAAAACAGCTGTCAACATTGCTGGATGTGGATTGGTGGGTGTCCTCCTTGATACATAGTACCAACTATTGCAACCTGGAGATTTTCTTAGATCCATTTGGTTAGATAAAAAACATCCACGGGCGAAATACAGAGATAAATACAAAAATTTACCTTCTTTTTTGTCGTATTATTGTAATTCTGGAAGAGTTTTATCCATATTTGAAGGAGATCTTTGCCGTGCAAATTGACGCCGGTTCTGATTGATATGGCAATCCTGGCCCCTAGTATTATGACGTGACTGTCAGATTGTGCAAATACCACTTTTTTGCTTGGGAATGTGAAATATAACATACATAACTCAGGCAACCTTGTCTTGTCCAGTAATCACTTATCAGTCATTCACTTGATCAACATTAGAGTGAACTAAGGAAGAATGGCCTCTAAAGTTCGTGCGATATTTTCCCAACGCGCCAGGTAATTTCCTCACCTATTAGTCTTTAAAACTATGGAAATTCCTCAGTCGTTAAGCTTTAAAATTGCTTACCTCTAAATTTTTCTCCCATTCAAAGTCTTATCTTCATCTCTGCCCACACCTCTCACTCGAATCGGGACCATAGAAATACTAATTGTTCTAGGTACCATTATTGACCTCTTCAAATGTGTGTAATCTCAGCTGCCGGATTCGACTTCTCTTAAAAGAACAGGGTGCTGTCAATTTTCGCTGTGACTTAAATCATACTTCTAGAGCTCCCTTGCGGAGCTTTCTACAAAGGTCATGTAAGGTTGACAGTATCCTAACCTTAAAGTCTCTTAGTCGAAAGATAAACTCATGTGAACATACTTAACACAACTTAATATGCAGAACTGATACGAATATAACGTATTCTAATCCTTTAATCTGCAGATAACTAATATTTTCCTGGCTCTGTCGTACCTTCAGTTTTGTATCATCGGGACGATAACCTCACTTTTTCGGAAGTTGCCAATATCTCTAGTTGTCACCTGGGACTAACTTCAAGATGCAACTTATGATAATAACTCTGAAAAATAATTTTCATGTGGAGTTACGTGTACATTCCCATCAATCTCTGAGATAAGATGACTGCAAGTAGCATAGGCAACTCACATGTTAGCCCTTAAGTTGATATTTGCACTACAAAATTCAGCCAAATTTAATTGTATGCTGACAGGTGGCAGTTTATCTCCGACCGTTAAATTAAATTTTAAAATAGTCTCCCTCAGTATCAAGCTTATTTGTAGTACCACTGGAATCACCCTGCCAATCAAAGCCTTAAAGTAAGAGAGGACTCAGCTTCAGATGCATTTTAGAGGATCGTAGACATTGAAGACCCCATTCCAATGATGATGTAATCAGATGTTGGCTAGAGGTGTTGTCAGCTAAGCTGGTAGTTGTCTACTTTCGGTTTGCAAGCGTCAACGACAAATTTGGGCCTCTGAACAAAGCGGTGTTCGCTACTATCCACATTGAAAACATCAGTCTCATGATTGTATCGTAAAAAAACTACTTATCAGTTATGATTTGCGACTTTCTTGTGGTTGTGATTTCTCTGTGGCTAAAAATTAAAGTCAACAAGGTTTGAAAGTATTAAAAAACTTATCTAAGCTTGTTTTCCTGCTTCTGAGAGAGCCAGATGTTTTCATGTGGATAGTAGTGACGCGAAAACGCAACTCGTGCAAACCGAAAGTAAACAACCGTCAACTTAGCTGACAACATTTCTACATGCCTGCTTTGTGGCATCATTCCAAAATTTGTTACCTGCGGTCTACTTTCTTTACATTGTGACTTTTTTCGTATTTTAACAGGAGCATGGCTCTCTCTGCAGCAGACACAGCAGCTGAAGGACCTTCAAGGCGCATGCGATGGCCGTATACTATGTCGGCTAAAATGGCCCAGTTTCCATTTAAAATGTATTACGATAAGGCTCCTCTCACCCATTACCTAATACTTGGATTCATTTGCTCGTGGCCCTTGTTCATATTTTTCCAGAGATTGGGTAAGTTTTCATTGTATTTTTGATGCTTTCATGTTGGCGAGGGATAGAGGACAGCAATGTGAAATAGCTAGAAAAAGAGTCTGCCAACATCATCCCTGTTATTGGATATACTGTAGTAGGTCAAAGATCTATGGCTTCATTGAAAGTTCTGACACAGCTAACTTTCTAGGAATTTCTAGTTGCAAGATGGTGTATGTGAGTTTTCTGATCATCCTTTTATGGTAACCAGGCATTCAAGTTGCCAACTCTGGAAGTGTAACAGTATTAAAGGTAAGTTTGGTTATATGCGCTAGGTACAGAGTTGTACATCTCAAATCACAAACCATTCATTAGTTATTTGAATCAGTATTTCTAAGAAGGGCAGAAGTCCATTGTTCATAATCCTTTTGATTTGACTTATTGAGCTCTACGGTTGTCCTTATTATATTACCCGAAGTAGCCCGCTTCTTGGAACACGAGTGACAGATGCACAGAAACGCCAATGTCATTCATGTAGAGTGCCAAAAATGAAAAAAACAAGCGATTTCGGAAAATGGGACTTCTACCCTTTTTAGAAGTACTGATTCATTTGTGTTCGGTGCAATAACTTCTTATGTTACCAGAGAAGAGGACAACGAACCTTCTCAAATTAAATTCTAAGGCACTAATTCATAATTTTTTTTTTATTTCTCAGCTCGAAGCCCAGAAAACATTAAGAAGTGGGACGACATCCATGAGGCCACACGTAACCATCCTAAAGTATGGGAGGAGGAACATTAATGTGTGTAACCTTCATTCATAGATTAGAATTAAGTACTTTTTGTTGGATCAGTTTTTTTTCTGTTATCTTTTTCATTTGTGAATCCAATCTCATTTCATAATAATCTCTATGTTCTATTTTATTTTGTAAATTTCATTCATAATTGAATTAAAGTTAAAAGAAATCGTCAAAACACTATTTGATTCGGATTAATCTCATTTGATTGTCTCATGAACAATCCTCCTCTATCAATAAAATTATCTTGCGAGATTTCTGGTTTGTGCGAACGTTTTGAAAAATGGAAGTTACCTAGAAAGTGAAGGAAGGCACCTATTTGTATGACCTTCAGAGTTCTTTAGTTAAGCCTAGAAATCAGATCTTCAGCAAGAGAAGATATGTGCAGAAAAGGTAGAATATCTTGGCAATCCATGTGTCAAATGTAGAAAACTATAGCTCGTTTTAAGGCTGAGAGTATGACCAGTAGAAGCCTCATTACAAGTTTGCTTCATCTTATAATCATTGCGGAAAAAATATTAATATATAGTGAAACCTACCTGACAAAAACACAAAAAATCAAAATTGATTTTAGCCTTGTTTCCCACTGATTTTTTGTGTTTTTGTCATTTATGTTTCGGGCTGCCATTTAAACTCTCTTCCTCTTGTAAAACCTACATATATATTATATATACTCGATATGTTACACAGTGCATATAGGGCTATGTCTTGTCTTATCTTGCCAACATAGCCAGTGAAAGTTTCAACAATTATGCTGCTGAATTCCTGATAGGTTAGGAAACTACTAAAAAAACTGTAAAATACACCTCGCGAATTATGAGTTTTAATCTCGAATGTAATATTAGCTTTTCATTAGCGATTATTATAGAGGCTAGAACAAATTTTTGTTTAGGGAGCTTTCATAAATTATGTAACGCACTTTTTCGGCATTTTTGGTCCACCTCTCCGATTGTGACGCTTCTATGATGTAGATCCCTATCTTTTAACCTGTAAAGACAAAATGGCGTAAAAGCTCTCTTTGATCCCCTTCTCCTTTGAATGTTATGCAATTTAGGTACAGCACCTATCGAAATCTCTGAAATAATAATAAGTCAAAATTACTGAATTATAAAGGGTCACAAAAAATACAACGGACGACTCATTATAATACAGGTATTTATTCAATTGATATGTGACTTACATGTTCTATTCAAATTGATTCAAGATAAAGACAGAGATAGAAACATGAAGGCGCAGTGAGGAAATACTTACGATAGGGTAATTTATACAAAAGACAGCAGTTGACGGAAGAGGGAACAAAACCATGAAATCAAAAAACCTCAGTTGAACTGTGACATTACTTAAAATACATTCGTAATTCAATACACAAAAATAAATAGAGGCAATTTTCGGAATGAGTCGCATCGTGTGTTTTAAGTGCTACGAATTTGAACCATTATAAACTCCTCTCATCTTCTTTACCCAGAGCACTAAGAGCAGGTACTAAGAGTGTTCTTTGTTTGATGAGAAATCTCTAGTAAGGTGAACTGTGTTTACCGCTGAAAACTTAGCACTAGAACTTAGCGGTGTAAGAGTAACTTACAGTCTATAACTTTCCAGGAATACCTAAGATATTTTTCTGCCGCTACAGGTGCAATTACTATTACCAATGGTAAATGATTTCGGTCCCATTGCTGCTGACGTCTTTAAACCAAGCTGCCGAATCGCCAATTGGTGGTTACAACTTTTACTCCAGGTTGCACCCGAAAGAATATGTCTTCACCAATTAAAAGTGCTATTCTTAGCAGTCATATGAAAATTACCTCGGCTTCATTTATCTTCAATTCTATGATATTTATTTATGTGCATCGACAGTGAAACAGTAGAAACACGTTCTTTGGTTTGCAACTGTGTAGACTTCTTGTTATCCTATACTTGCATTTCAAATGGGAAAATACTCGACACTATATCTGGAAAATTTCTCTATTTTTCTTCTCTATAGGAAGAAACTTCATAGAAAATTCCAAGCACTGGCATTGGTTTATTCTCCTTTGGTACAATAAAACAGCAGTCACCATTATGAAACAAAGCAAAAGAGATACGCATTCTTGAAGTTTTAGTGTCTCTTTATTTCTTGTTTGCAATGTTTCTTGCAATCAAATAATGATCGTGATTGTTTTATTAACTGAGGAATGAGAGTTAAGTTCGGACTTTGAATATTTTAGATCTTATGATTTTTTCAAAAAATAATTATTTTATTTTATTTTTTTTGGTCTAGTATGGCTCCGGAAAATTATGTTTCATTATTGTACTTGGAAACTACGGGTGCTTTGATTTTTGTAAAAATTATTGCCAGCCTCACATTTTTTAAGTTAAAAAAACGACTGCCACCAGGCTGTGTAATATGACACATCTAAAGTAGCTGAGGATTGCTAGTGGGTGTTTGCACCAAGCAACTTTAAGCACACCTGCTGAAGGGAAACTGAGATACCCTGGTAACTTTTTTTTAGAAATAAAAAGAGAACATTTAACAAATACTTTCCTGCTTCCTTAAAACTACCCTATGTTTAAAAAAATTCGAAATTGGACTAATAAAAACAGTATTGTTACGTATTTATTTTCTCGGAAAATTAGCATTCAAAGGATACTTAAATAATAATGATTCTACTTATTAATCGATAGGTAGTACTTGCAATTAGGGGTGTCATTACACAGCTATCTCATTGGCAGAATACTAGGATAATGATTTCAATTCATGATTACAAAAGTGATGAAAAATAAAAACAGTATGCATTTAGATCCTTGTTCGAATGCGGTTCAGTTGTAAAAAAATAGAGAGCCTTTGAATAGTTAACAAGAAACTAAAATCAGAGAGGAAGTATTGAAGGAGAAGATTATGAGCAACTCTAAATTCGAGTATAAATAAGGAGGAAAGGTCACACAGTTCATGTTTCATACAAATCTGATTTTGGAAGGACATTTGCTTCTTTGAGGTCATCAAAATACTTGTGATGGATCATATCTCGAGCATTAATTCTTTCGGCAGGATCATAAATGAAAGTTTTCTGGAACAGAATAACAATCTGGCGTTAAAAAAATCCAATACAAATTATGATTAATTGGACTACATTTTGCAATTTGGACCTATAGATTCTAGCCCGGTTTAAAAACAACGTATGTGCCATTAGTTTCCCTATGCACATAAGTGTTTTTCCAGAAGAGCCAGAATTTATAGTTCCAAATTGCAAAATGCAGTCCAATTTGCAAGATTAAAAATACAGGGATTTTTTGATGTTGTTGTTGTTTGTTGCAGAACAGCTGTTTAGATTGATAGTTAGTAGTTTCTTATGTAAACAGAGTTGATGTATTTAGTAATTGAAATAAGTCTTCTATTGGAGATAGGTGATCCTGGGTGTCTACTGAGATAGGCTGGCCAAAAGTCGGTACTCTTACATTACTTTATTAGTACATTCCCAAGAAATCCAATGCTATCTTGACAGAAAAATCCAGTCAATAGTAGCTCCGTTTGACAAAATTTGAGATTCTCGTTCGAATCGCGACAAAAATGACGTAATCACAAAATTTCATCGGTGGCTTGAAGATTGACTGCCTGTAGAATCGCAATTTTGCAGGCTAATACTACTCAAAGAATAAATGCGTACAGGACTGCATACTTTCCAGGCTTTACCTAATAAATAAAAAAAAATGGTGGTATAAAAGAAAACATTCCGAGAATTCTTGGGGAATTTCTGCATTTTTTCAGTACTTCTAGACCGCCCTTAAAAAATCAGTACTATTTCCGGGAATTCCAGACTAGTAGACACCCTGTGATCAGGAAAGTCAAGCTTGATAGGAACAGGAATAAGAATGAGTTTTAGAGAAAAAAGAGGATGGCACAATTGAGACTGGACGATTCAATAAAGTGGGCACAGATCAGCTCTCAATAAGGAGCCTGCCCATTTCAATCATTTTGGGTCAAATAAATACTTTCGTTAAAATTCTTAACATAAGAAATATTAGCACTAATGTTATTTTCAATTTTGGCGGTACAAAAGAAGAGAGAAAATGGTTCCAGTTAAAACGTTTCAGACAGTACCTAAAAATATGGACATAAAAATTCAAATTCTTGATTAGTCAGTCGTACTGGTCACAAAATCGTGTTTTGATGCTTGATGCTTGATTCTTGTATATTAACAATTAATAATAAGATTTGTCCAAACTGCAACTTTCTACCTTCAATATTAATCGAGATATCGCCCTTTGAAAAGTCAGGTTTTGGGAGTCATTCACCACGGCAGTGACACCCTTGGTTTCTTCCTCTTTTGTTCAATCAGTGATGCAAAGAGGATGCAACGCAAAACTTCAACAACGTTAAACATAAACAAACTCAAGAAACAGACCGATTTGTACTTTAAAGATCTTCTCATCAGGAGATAAAGCACTTGCTGTGAAGAGATTAGGCGGTCAGTCAGTTCACCTCAGTTTGTGTACATTTAACGCTGCTGAAGTGTCGCGATGCACCCTCTGCATCACTGATCGAACAAAAGAAGAAGAAATCAAGTATGTCACTGCCGTGGTGGATCACGTCAAAAACCTGACTTTTTAAAGGGCGATATCTCGGTTAATATTGAACATAGAAAGTTGCGATTTGGGCAGATCTTATTATTTTCAGCTAATCTAAAAGAATCAAGCATCCAAACACGGTTCTGTGATCAGCGCAACTGGCCCATTCTGCCGTAATTTTTACCCTCGATTAGGTAAAAAAAATTGTTTGGAAGTAATGAGAATTCACATGCACTTACTTGCAGCAGATCAAGTCCGACAGGATCGAGTTTGCTCACTGTCTGAGCCAAAATATTGGTCGTCCAGTTCGGGAATGTGGGTTTGTAATCTGGAAGTTGTGAAACTTTTGGCCAGATTTGTTCATTTGGGGTTGAAAGGATCCTGTTTGGAGTAAAATTAAAATGTTTATAAAAGAATGTATTCAATAGAGAATTTACTGAAAACCCATCTATTTCTTTGCTGAATTTGTATGCTTATGCTTTGGAGAAATGATTGAAGGAGAAAGGATCTGATCCAGACGCTTTTTTCAGAAAAGAATGAAATCATTCACCTTATTTCCACTTCCCAAGGCTAAATTAGTCTAGTCTCAGCAAGGAACAAAATGAGCTATTATATAGGCGAGCAAAGGGTTAAAACCACCCTGGCTGTTTTTCTCATTATTCAGTTCAGTAGTTTGACACAACCCTAAGCATACCTCCTCTAGAAGTACCTACACACTGAGTACCTCGAAATATCTTGATTTTGGACATGTTGTTATCACTTGACTAGCTTGCATTTTCAAAATTATTTCATCAACTGCTTTTCAAATCTGACTTCAGTGGGCAGATATCTATTACATATACTTCAGAATTTTTTAAATTCCCTTGAAGATTTGAAGGTCACGTCTATGTAACTGCAGGCGAAACTGAACTGAAAAAAATACACTAAAATACTGGTTTTCATTTAAAATGTAACTTCAGTCGGAGACTCTTTTTTAAAAAAAGAAGATGAGAAACAAAACAAAAAATGATACATGAAAAAATCTATCATTTAAATAAACATGTTAGATTAAACTTGCCCAAATATTCTGAATAACTGATCTATCTCTGAGTCACCACGGAACAAGGGTTTGAGCATGGCCATCTCTGCAAAGATACAACCTATTGACCAGATATCAACAGGGCAGGCATACAGAGTAGTTCCAAGCAAAATTTCTGGTGCTCTGTACCATAAGGTGACTACCTATGGGCAAAGAAATGAGAATTAGAACAGTGGTTTCAGCATGATAAGTGAGCTGAAAGGGAAATGGGAAAAACAGAAAAATAAAGGTTTAAAAAATAGGCTCAGGTAATGAGAGTAAAACCACCACACCATATTTTTTTCTTGGATTACAAGAGAAAAAATCCATTGAGCCCAGCAATTGATAGTCTGATGTTTTTAGCAAACAGCACTGAAGGAGTTTGGTTCTCTCAGAGTTATCTTGTAATTTTTACCCCCTTATTTAACCCTGTTTCCAGAAAATTAAAAGCCCGATTAGAAATTGATCTCTGACTATCCATACTAAAAGGCGATGGTTCAGAAAAACCTGAAAATATAATTGTCGACAAACACTATGATTTCACTTTAGAACAACAACATACATATGAAACAAGCAACATATTCTCTATCTTGGACTTACTTTTGACTCTAAATTAAGATATAAGCAACATATTCTCCATAAAAAAAAAACAAAAACAAATTTAAATCAAGATACGCAGCATGTTATGGTTATTCGAACGCCACGCCAAATTAGAACTGCAAAACAAAATTCTCCTGTACAAAACAATGATAGGACCAATAAGGTCTTATGCATGCCAAGTCTAGGCCTGTGCAGCCAAGTCAAATGTAAAACAAATGGAAATTATTCAAAATTTAACACTAAGGCAAATTATAATGCTCCATGGTATCTCCGTAACGAAGCTATTCACTCGGAACTGGAAATTGAGAAAATCGAAGCCTACATAAGTAGACTATACAACAGATACGAAGAACGTCTGTCCGCCCACCCCAATCCGGAAGCCCTTGTGTTCCTTGATTGGGTGGGGGATCTGCGCCGTTTAAGGAAAAGAAAACCGGACTTTCCAGTAACCCCAGACATTCTTAAAATCTAACTACCCTCACTTGCGTAATTGCCGGTACCTGCCTTTGTCAGCTGAAATATTGGCCCACATCTGAGAATCAAAGTTCCTGCTAGCAATCGGAGTCTTACACTGTTATTAATATTTAGCATTAGCCGCTTTTGTACTCTTTTTCTTATCTGTTCTGTTATTGTTCTGTCTTTTTTATTTTGTTTCGTTTTTAGCATGCTTTTTACTTTTACTTCTCTTCCTAACTATTTTTTTCTTTCTTTCTTTCTGATCAAAGTGGTTCGTTATTGTAATATTATCCGTTACATGATGAGTAAAAATGTTTAAAGACCCGTAAAGTCTAAAAATATGATGTAGTATAATTATACTTCTATTACGAATAATAAGAAAAAAAAACTTCAGAGTGAAGTAATAAATGACATGACACAGACGAACACAAAAATGCAGCTAATATGCTGCTATGGTTGGCACACTACATCGTGGCCCATGGTGATTACTACACATCATGAATTTTAAAGACTGACACTAACATAAAGCTTCAATTTGAGTCCAGCTCAGAATTGATGATTTTAGTCAACCCTTAATGTTCTATCAATCAATGATTAGAGGAAATGGCTATTTGTTTAATTAGGATGGATTAGAAGAGAAAGTCACAGCCTTATGTTGAATAACTGTACTTTGGAACTTGCAAGATAAGCACATTCGTGTCCCTTACTAAAATGTAGACAAGAGAATCGATACCCTCACTCTCACTAATATAGATAGGTATTCATTTAGGGCCACTAGACAGGGTCAGGGAGTGGAAAAAGGGTCACATAGTCTCTCTTCAAAGGTTGCAAAAAAAAATAAAATAAAATAAAATAATAAAAAAGAATGAAAAAAAAAAATCTCACAACAAGAAGTTAGATAATTAACTCTTAGACAAAATACTGACTAACACTTTTAACACAGCAAATAGAAGCTGGATCATAAAAATAATGCTATTTATATTTTCGTCATTGAACCAATGTTTATCGTTGATGCTTGGAGAATGATTTTCAGACTTTCTTTTGAGTGATGCGTTTTCCTCATGAAATTTTTAGAAGAAAATATGTGGTGTAGTGTTTTAATTCGTAATTTATCTAGAGACTAATTGGCCCCACATGCAACAAAGGAGGAGCCATTCGCTACAATAGAAAGGATTTTTCTCTCTCATGTGTTCAATTTTATTACCAGGAATGTAAAATATTTGCTTGCAATTACTGTAAGGAAATTATATTCTACCTACATGATCCATATAGGATTAACGATATAGAAGTTTTTTTTTATTTCTAGATGATGTATCTTGATATTCTTTTACAAATCACTTTTTATGGGTGATCAAAGCTACTTTGTTTGACATTATGATCCTCATACGTAGGTAAATGTAAAGAGTAAGGTGCTACCTCATGTGTGAAAGCTCGAATTGGCACTCCAAAAGCACGCCCCAGTCCAAAATCGGCAACTTTAATCATACCATTGCTGGAAATAAGTAGATTCTGAGGTTTGAGATCTCTATGGAGAATACGTCTTTTGTGACAAAACAGGATTGCTTGTGTGATCTGTTGAATGAGTAATCATGACTATTAGTAAAGGCTAGAAAATGTTACATAAATTGAACCTTGAAGAGGATGGAAGAATTGTAATGTTTATCATTGGATTTTAAGAATCATTTCACTCATTTTCTTTTGTTACCAAGCAGCATTGTAGGTTCTGAAAAATTAGTTTGTTGATACCAAGTGAATAAGACTATTACTGATGACCTGGATTTAACTTCTCTAACTTTAAAGTCAAATATGTAAAAATTCTTGCGTTTCTCACATGCATAGCACACTAATTGAATCAGTTTATTCCATCACCTCTGGTGCTATTTTATTTCAATTAGTAATTTTTTGGCTCTAAGTAGTATTAGAGAGAAAAAACACACATCTGAATGGTTGATGATTAGACTTCGTTTTTTGTTTTCAAGCTTTTTAGGGGATGTATAAAAGTTATTGCTAATACTTTTTAGCAAGCGCAAAAACATTGAATGGATAATTTTTTCTTAAAAATTCTAGCTTCAGGTTAGAGGAAAAGTGACGGGTGTGAGAGAGGAAATATTGATTAAAGTAACTCCACGTTTTAGATTCTTTTAACTAAACAATCCTCATGAAGAAATCTCCTACAATTGAGAAGAGTCTGAATTCTGGGCGGAGGTATTCTTCGTAAGCAACTCAATTTTTTCGCCCACTTTCTTGATTTTGATTTATTTCCAATTCATGGTTAACATCCTCTTGAAATCACACAGAAATCTTCAAAAAATACTCCTCACCTGATACAAATATGATTTCATCAGCATTGTGTCCAGCTTTCCAACTGTGTTACTTGTGTCAATTTTGCTGTTGGGCAGTTGACAATCCAAGAATTTCTTGAGGTCCATCGTTAAAAATTCGAAAACTAGATACATTCGATTTTCTTCCATTAGAACTTCATACAAACTGAAAAATGAATTGCAAAGTATTACATGTGGTAGCTAAGCAGAGAAAATGATTAGGGTATCAAATGGTGAAAGATTTTGGGCAGAGACCTATAACAAATTGACTCAGGGTCAATGAAAAAACTTGGACAGAGTTAGATATGAGAAATTAGTGGAATGCAACTTTTCATCTAAAAATTTCCTCACAGAATATGCTATTAGCAGGGGCTTGTCCATACTTCACACTTCTAATTAGCAGCACAAAGCGCTGAATTATTGACAGGGAAGAAGAAACTGCTGACCCTGTTCTCTGTTGACACTCCTAGTGCTTGCTAGAATAGAAACATTTATTTCTTATCAATTTGACTCAAGCAGGCTACATGCAGTGCGACAGCTGTACCGTTCTTTACATGGGCCCACTGTACCCACTCCCTCCGTTTTTTTGTTCTACGCCAGTTACATTGCTCAATTTGCCAAATTCCGATCATCTTTCTTGATAGTTTCATATGTATCCCTTGCTCTTCCCTCTCAAACAAAACAATGCCTTTCCTCTCCCTTCAGCCCCACTGCTGTCCTTTAATGCTATGCCACTGTAGCATTTGGGTACAATGTCCTTGCTTCTTCCTCTCGCTCCGGCTTCTTTGAGTCCCACTGCATAACTCCTTTAGTTCATTGCTCACAGTTGTGCGTGGCCTTGGAAATTCCTGAAGCCATAATACAGAATCATCATCTGTTCTCCAGTCAGTCCCATCGGAAAGTTGTAAAAACTTCCCAGATTGCTTTCCATTCTTTGAGGCTCTGACAAGTCATAAAATTCACAATGATTTCAGATGTTTGACAAATCCTCTTTTTCTAAGGGCCAGCTCTATCATCTCTTGATACCTACAGATTTATTCACAGACTAAAAAACTTAAGAGTAAGCGCCTACACTGTTTGATACTTCCCCTCTCTACCCTTTAATGATTGTAAGTCATGGTGGGGCAGCTAACAAAGCAGCAGCTTTTCGGCTGGCTGTGAAGCCTTACCTAAGTAGGCCCTTAGCAGCAAGAAACTTTTAAAAGCTACAAACCTGACAATGTTGGGGTGGTCTAATTCTTTGAGCAGTGTGACTTCTCTCAAGGCTGTAGACGGAATACCTTCATCATTTCCTTCCATTCTAATTTTCTTGATGGCCACAATCTGGTCAGTCTTTTTGCATCTCCCTTTGTAAACGACACCATAAGTACCTAAGAACAATAGTGAGAGAGGTCATAGTATTACAATTCTTTAAAATGTTAACTAAAATTTAAAAAAATAGGTAATTTAGGAGTAGTCTAAATGAAGCTACCTCTGACTCTTACCTCCTTGAACTGAACAGAGACTGAAACCAGACCTCTTGCATAGCTCATGTTATCATTATTTGATAACTACAGCAATGGACTAAAATTAGTACTTCTCTCCGAGATTACTTACTTGACAAGATTGTACAAGGGTGAATTTCTGCAGGGGTGCGGAACGATATAGATCAAGTGATCAATCTGTTTCAGGTGAAGGTTGTGGGCACAGCCGAAATTTGTGGATATTTGATGCTGTGGCATGGCTCATCATCAGCTTCAAAACCTGAGATTTGAAACGCTCCGTCTGCTGGTGGTCAGTTTTGGGGACTTTCTTTTATTAAAAAAGATTTTAAATCAATGGTATTTCTTTGCCAAAAAAGGTAATTAACTGTAAAGACTCTTCCAACCAAAGGTCATTGCAAATGGAGGCTAAGGAACTTTAATTTCATGGATAATGGTCCTTGATCCAGATGAGGACAAAAAAACCAAAAATGTTGCCTGTTGAAGAGTGTTTTCAGGCCTGCAGTGAAAGATAGAAGCTATCATGAACATGCAATCAACCGAAAATCATCCTTATTCACTGAGGTCATTTAAGTACATTTCACTGCGGTAATCGAGTCTCATTCTTCTATGGAGTCAAATGACCCGATACTTTTGGAGACATTTTCACCTATGATATAGCGCCTGTCAGATGAATGGCAGTTTTTTTCAGCATTCAGAAGTCAGGTTTCAAACCCAAGTGCTCCTAAGGAATGGTCAAGGCTGGCCAAGCAGCTCTTTAAAAAATTGGTGCACTTATTTTGACTGAGTCCTAATTTTTCTGACTGATGATTTTTGTCTATCACACAGAGCTAAACTTGTAGAGAAAACAGTAGCCCTCACTGCACGACTGATTGAGAATTGATTCAAAGCAGGATGGCAGGAGGGAGAAGATTGTGCGCGTTTACCAAATTCCGTTTAGCTCTGCTAAGTTCCATCCTTTAGGTGCCTGTTGGTCGCTTTTGACTGTACCTTTGGTTGAAAATCCATCAAATGCGTATGTTAATTTTTGAGGTTCTTGAATTTTTATAAGGATGATGATGATTGATGGGAAGTTACAAAAAATTTTAACTGAGTTGAGAAAAATCTGGACATTTAGAAGAAATAAACCCTCTTAGTTTTAGTTAGGACATTATCCCCATGTTTTCTTTTCCTATGCTGCAGCTAAAAATTCTGTAAGGTGCTGTGCTTCTATTATACCACATAACACTGAATTACACATGTACATTTGGTGTACGAGCAAAATTTCAATTGGGCCCCTGAAAACTGAGCTTGATAGGCTAGAAAGCTTCTTAAACTGACAGGTGGGTTTAGAACACTGAGAGAGGTCCACCAATTCATGTATTAATGCATAGCGCTGTAGTTGCCTCGGTATTTCACGACTAATGGGCCGAAACAGCGCGGTGGTTCGATTAATCTGACAGGAACTCCTGCCATGTGCAGGCTAGAGTCTTAAATTTCTGCCTGATTGAAAGAGTAAGGAAAAACGATAAACTTACCCTCCCCAATCTTTTCAATTTTAATATAACCATCCATGGTGGAATTAAGTTGTAACAAATTCACAAATTGAACAGGGTGAAACAGGATACTGCAGAGTGCAAACAAGCTACCGTTCAGTCCATAAGTGACTTGCCTTCACACTGAAATCACAGAAAATACAAGTATAAACATAAGAAGAGATGAATAAGAGAGTCAGAAGGCCAGCGGGGCAATTATTGAAATGTCATCAACTCTATGTCGCCGCTTACGACAAGACATAGCCCTATCTTAACCGTGCATTATACCACAATTCAATGTCTCATCCGGCTGGTTTAAATTTCAATAATCGGCCCGCAGTGGTTTAAGAAATGAGTCTCCAACACTGAACACTGAGTGAGGGAGTACACAAAATTAGTCCGATTCAATGCCTAGGGACCGAGCAAAGCAGCAAACTGACAGGTGGAAACTAAAGTAACTTTATTTTAAATCCTGAGGTCAAAACTATCAGTTCTTAGGATTTATAAAGCAGACTTCGACTACTTTTCTCGCTGAGTCCGGCAGGAGACAACAACTGATTAGACTACATCATGAACTACAAAGAAACTTGTACCCACCAAGTGTTTTTGATATGAATGATGGAACGTGTGAAAAAATAAGATCAGCATTGACTAAGTTCTTACTCACCAAATTTTCGGGAAACACGAGGAGGAAACTTGATGATAACGGAAGGGCTAAAAAACCGCCGGAAAACTTTATGGCTTTTTGTTGTGTACAGTTTTTGGCGGTTATTCCTGTAACGGTGATCATCGAACATCGATTTCGACCATTCGACCGGCAGGGCCATGGCTCGAATTCAAGATTAGAGATAGATAGTGCCACCAGTCACCTACCAGTCACCACTGAGAATTTCACTTTCCGTTGACGATTTCTGAAATAATATTGTTCAAATTACAAAAATCAGATCCTCAAGATATAGATGATTTTTTGCTTGATTTTTCGAGCCAAAAATATTGACAATTAGAATTACCTGCGCAGAGAAAATACGGCTGAAACTTTCAAAGCTTCTTAGTGGGGGCGTTTTTTCCATCAGCGGCGACCGCTGTTGTGCAACACCGTAGATTGCTGCCAACCACCAAATTGCGGCTGTTGCTGCTAGCTAAAACTTGCCCAATGGTGTTTTGATAATTTGGTTATGTTTTATGTTCTAATTCTAATGTTCTAAGGAATTTTTTGTTGATTTGTCTTTGGAATTGTATTGTCCTTCAAGAAAGTGTCGCGGAACTTTTGATATCTTTACAACTGTATCTACAAACTCACCCTATACAAATACAATAATACATAATACATGTGTACAATTACAACAATAGAGGGATTTCGGAAATCGGACAATTTGAAGTGCTAGTGTTCTTCCTGTGAAACGAAAATGAAAATGTGCCGATGAACGAATGGAACAAGAAGGTGACAACGAACATATAAACCCATGATTCCAGCTCATTCCTGAAAAAAAAGTTATGAAACATAGACCAGGTTAGTTTTATGGTTTATAATATTTTTTTCCTCTATGGATGAATCTTATCTTGAGTCTCCGTAGTCTAGCAGTGCAGCTTCTGTCAACTTTTAGGTTACAATAATTGGAAAATGCGGCCACTTCCGCTATTTTACATAGTCAATTTCTGAACAACACCATCCTATGAACCTTACCAAAATTATGGTCGAAAGACGCTGAGATTCCACCTATATTTGTTGTCAAACTCTCCATGCTCAGAAATTGAGCATATTTATTAGCAGGGTTGCCACAATTTCTGGGGAGTCCTAGGTTGGAACAATGGCAACCCTGCTGATGTATTTCTTCCCGGTTTTTGCATGGAGAGATTGACCAGATGTAGACATGGACTCTCAGCGTAGCATGGGAGATTCCCTAAATTACGGCCTCAACTTTTAGAGTTTTTTTTAGCTGTGGTGTCCGTTTCAGAGAAAACCAGTAGCACCATCGAATTTTTTGCAAAACTCTACATTAGTAACTGTACTTGGGTTGCAAATTTCTTGCACATGCAAGAGCTCGGCTTTATCTAAAGCTTACACATGAAGACACGTCGGCTATAGTTTAGTATATGGACTGTTCCTGAAAATAACCTTTATCCCCCTCCCCTTGACGTACATTCAGGAAAAGTAAGAGGGAATGGGGTCCCGGGTAGAGACACCTGACTAAACCCAGAAAACCCCCAAAAAAAACCTCCAAAATACTCAGAGTTCTGAGAAATCAACGGCCGATATACTGAACTGTCCAGGCATTTTAGAATATGGACCGTAGCTACGGAAGTGTAGACAGGCCTCTTCTACTGATGGGAGGCAGAGGGCGAGCTACGTATCTCGTCCGCTGATACCATCCGACATGACGCGCGGACGCGAAGCAGCTGTTTGAGAGCTGGTAATTCAAAAGTTTCACAACCTGCGCCGACTCGAGAGGGTTGTTATCGTTTTTTGCCGTCGAAGGCCGCCACCCGCTACCACTTTTCGGGTATAACTCCTGCAGGGCCGGATTTAGGGGGTGACCAGATGGGCCGCGCGGGTATGTAGGTATCAAGAAAAAAATTTGATTTAGAAAGAAAATTACGAACGAGAAAAGGCGAAAAAATCTCTCATTTCCTGAGATTTTAAGTATAGTAATTTCTAATTTGCTCGTCTTTCAGTGATACAAGAGACAGTGCCTTTCATTAGTCTAGTTGAGAGAGAAACTAAACACGCAATTTGGCCCGGATTGGCGCGGCGCAGAGAGCAGTGATGACGAGGACTTGAGATGAAAAGGAGAAGCCCTTGGCGCGCCGCGCCGGTCAGCATGAAACACATATTAGCGCCTATAAGACTCCATGAATACTTAACGCATTGCGTCAAACGTAGTGCGGTCATTAGCAGTTGGCGCCATGAAACTCATAGTGCCTACAAGACTGCATGAATACTTTGCCGCTACTGCAGTTTTGACCGTTAAGGCCGTAGTTCATGGGCGCTAAAGCCGGGACTGTACTTCGCAAAAATATAATTTTTGCAGAATAATTAAAAATTAAGAAGTTGGAATAATTTAACTAAATAATGAAAGGATCTCAAATCGACGACATATTGCAAAAAAAATTGGAAAATCTCGTCATGTAAATACAGAAGATTCGAAAACGCCTTCAATTGAGGCGTGATACCTCACCCGTTCCGGAGAGTGCAAATAGTTGTATCCCTGCGCCTTAGCAAGGCGATGGAAGTTTAATATTGAAGTAGCGTCCCCGCTTGGTTTTTTGGCTTTCCTGTACCGCCAGGGGCGGACTGGCCATGGGGGCAGGGAGGCGATCGTCCCCTAACAATTTGCCGCGGAGGTCTCGAAGGGGCCCCCGCGGCTAATTTTTTCGAGTCATCGTTTTTTCCCCGTAATGTTGTAACTTTCTTATCCTTTTCAATCACTTAAAGGCCCCGAATTCCTTGAAAATCTGTCTCTAAGAGACATGGAAGGTCGCCAAAAGCATTTGTGATGAAGGGACCCCCGATGAATCCTGAGAATGGGTTATTTTGAAGTTCAAATACTGTAGAATCGAACTCCAATAATGCCTACGTGTTTAAAAAGTGTGAAATTTGCAGGGGCCCCGAACGACAGGAGGGGCCCTTACATTTAGGTCTCCTCCTAACTTTTCGACTACCAGTCCGCCCCTGAATACTTCACGCATTGCATCAAAAACAGTGCGGTCAGCAGCGGTCGGCATGAAATGCATAGCGCCTACAAGACTTTAGGGATACTTCACGCATTGCGTCATACACAGTTTCTTTCGAGAGTATTTTCCTTATTTTTTATTTATATATTTTATTATAAAGTTTTTAATTATTTTTATATTATTATAATTTCCAGAATGGCGGCCACGGAAGACTCCCCTGAAAAATTAAGTAAGGTAAGTAGAGCACGTGAAAGAATCACCAATTGCCTTCAATTTCATTAATAAACGTTCAATATTCTTAAAAGTAAAACCCAGCTGATGATTTGTCCTCGATCGACACCAATCAATGTGCCATAGAGAAAAAAAAGGAGGTGTTTGCAATTCGGGCATCTTGGAATTTTTTGATGACTTGATGACGTAGGTGGGTACAGTGTGAAGGGGACGTCCCTGTACCCAGCTGTACCCACCTACGTCATCAAGTCATCAAAATATTCCAAAATGCCCGAAATGCAAACACCTCCTTTTTTTCTTTATGCCAATGTGCCTCATTCTGCGGTGTGCTGTGGAAGACTAAGTCGTGGCGTGCATTGCGATTTGTCGATTGATCTGCCATTTAAATCTATTGAAAATGATCGATAAACAGGGTGTTCGCAACGAATACCCTAATAATCGATCATTTACCATAGCTAAAAATTTGAAAATAAAAAATATCGAGGATCGATCATTCGCGCCTTTTCCGTCCGAGATACGGCGAAATGGACGAAATTTTGAGTCAAAGCGCGGCAACTTCTTTATTCCAATAGGAATGGGCCTGTCGCGCAATTTTTTTTTATTGCTTTAATCAAAAGAATTAAGGCTCCTGATGTCACAGGAATTTTCCCGGAGTTTTTTTTATCACCAGAAACCCTCCAAAAATTCAACTTAAAAACACCTAAAAATTCGGATTTTCAAAACGGTCACTTTTACGCGGGAACGGATCCGGTACACTCGCTACGTCACATCTCATGCCAAACCTGGTCTTTTCATCACTTACAATGTATTTTCCCGTAAGGAATTGGCAGCCGCTTTTCAAATGCAAATATCGAGTCAATCAATCAGTGACCGGAGCGCCTCCCATTTTTTCGTATGCAACTCGCGTATCCATTAAGCACGAATATTTGTATTAAAGGCGTTACTTATCATCAAGGTCATTGAGTGCGTTTTTCATGTTGACTGAGTTCTTAGCACAAGAAGCCCCGTCTCGTCCTATTTACCTTAGTGTCGTTTAAGAAACTGAATCAAAACAGTGCCCGTAAAAAGTGCCACTTTTATAAAGTTTTTCGGTTCTAAAGCTGCTCTTTCGCTCCAGCTCTCCGTTTGTTTTAGGGGGGGGAGGGGGGAATGGGCCGATTTTTAGGACTTCTTATCAGTTTTATGTTACCATAAGACACATTTTTCAAGCTCGTTTTCAACGTTCCTGGAATAAGGATAGCCGGTAAACGAAGTTTTTTAACTACAAGGTGCCCAAAAAATTATATCATACAGAGCAATACAACTGGAAAAAAATCCTCAAAACTGGCTCATTTTTCGGAAAAAGGGCCGGGGGCGGGGGGTGGCTGGAGCTAGAGAGCCACGTAGATACACGGATCCACGGATACTTGGACTTAGCAAGTTTTTCGACTACAGCTCCCTTTTTTCCGTCGTCACTCGATTTAATTTGCGAGAGAACTTCGTGCTTTTGAAAGATGCCATCAATCATGATTCGTTGGACTGCCTTCAATCTTGTATGATACTGTGCAACACCTTCATGGCGAAATAGTAGTTCGAAGCGCCTCGGCACGCCGGCGCCGTCGCGAAGGTATCGTACACAGGAAAAATCTAAAAGCCTTCAGCTGAGGAAAATCAAAAGGTTCATCCGATTCAGGTAAAAAAAGATGGGATTTTCTTGAAAGATAATTAAGTCCTGTCGCACCAAAGAGGTGTAGAGAGTTTTAGTGAATTTTTCCTCATGGAATTGACGCCAAAATTCTCAATTATATATTTGTTTCCGTTTGGCCAACCAAACAACAACCAGGTTCATTAGCACCTGAAATTTTGACTGGGGCAAAGTTTTTTTTTTTTTTTTTTAAGGATTTTTTCGGAAAATTTTCAATATCTCGAAGGAGTCTCTTTCTTGCTCTTCATCCTTGAAAAACCAGTAACAAGTCAAGAAACTACGTGTTCTAAACTCTTCAAAAATGAGGAGTAAGTCAGGAAATTTTGAAATCCAAAGCCACTTGTAACCATAATTTGGGCAAAATAGGAAAAATTGAAAACGGGAGAAAGAATTACATGATGCAAGTCATCAACCCTTGACTGCTATGGAGGATGATGAGAATTCTATTATCGATCCCATCATATCATATTGGAGTCTGCCTCTTGGATGTTCTGACCCTTTCCAACTCGATTGTTACACAATTAAATTCTCCACAAGGTTACTCAGTGACCTAAACGTATTAGCTTTCTTCAAAGCACAAAAAACCACAAGTTAGCCCGTTCGATCGACCCATTACAACTCGTGGAGACTCTCAAGGATGACGCCAAACCACTGCTCGATTTTCTATGGCTTTCCACGCCTCGAAAAATACCTTTATTTTGAACCGGAAAATACAGGGTGATCCAGACTACCCGCACCAGGCTCTTTCCTCGGTTATTACAGGACGGACGAGGTTGGAAACCGCGAGAACGAACAGGGTGTCGGCCCCAAGGGATCCAAATTTCATAGTCCCCAACCCCTTCTAGTCTCCCTTGAAGAAGGGCCGTCCACAAATTAAGTAAGGCACTTTNGGGGGGGGGGGGGGGGGGGAGGGTCAAGAGGTGCCTTATGTAAGCCAAACGCTTGTTATTGAGAAAGAGGGAAAAAAACGTTTGAACTGTTGGCCTAGCCCAAATTTTGTAAGACTGACTAGTCCAAATTGTTAAAATGTAATTTTTTCTGAAAATTTTAAATTTAAAAACTGGTAATTTTTTCAATACAGCTGCAGTTATTTCTCATGATATCCTACCAGCGATTAGTAATGTTTAAAACAATACCGATTTGTTTCAACACCATTTTTTCATTGAAATATGCATTTAAATGATAAAAGGGAGGGGGGGGGA